GCTGAGGCGAGGGCGGCTGAAGCGGAATCTGTCGGCCGCCGCCGCCGCCTCGGCGTCCTCGTCGCCGTCCTCGGCGTCCTCGGCCGCCGGCGGCCTCCCGGCCTCCTGCTCGGCCTCGGCGTCGCTGTGCACCCGGAGCCTGGACAGGAAGACGCTGCTGCTGAAGCACCGGCAGCTGCTGCAGCTGCAGCCGTCGGACAGGGACTGGGTGAGGCAGCAGCTCCAGCGGGGCTGTGTGCACGTCTCCGACCGCCACATGGCCTCGTCCTACCTGCGCCCGGTGCTCTGCACGCTGGACACCACGGCCGCCGAGGTGGCGGCCCGGCTCCTGCAGCTGGGCCACAAAGGCGGCGGGGTGGTGAAGGTGCCGGGCCAGGGGCCGCCTCCCGCCGCCGGCGATCAGACCCCGGACGGCGCGCTCGGCCGGCGCCCGGGCCACCCTCCCGGTGCCGTCGGGGCCCCCTCGCGCGCGCCCCCCGCTGACCTGCCGCTGCCCGGCGGTGCCTGGACGCGCTGCGCACCCCGCCCCAGCCCGGCGCCCTCGGACTCCAGCCCCGGGGAGCTGTTCGCGGGCGGCCCCGCTTCCCCGGCCCGCGCGCCTCGCCCGGCCTCCGACACCGAGAGCTTCAGCCTGAGCCCCAGCGCCGAGAGCGTGTCGGACCGCCTGGACCCCTACAGCAGCGGCGGCGGCGGCGGCTCGTCGTCGTCGGAGGAGCTGGAGGCTGACCCGGCCTCGGTCTCGACGGGGGCTCCCGGGCCGCCCCACCGCCCTCGGCCGCCTTCCCCGAAGACCTCGCCTTCGCTGCAGCCGAAAGCCCCGAGGGCCATCGATGGCGCTGGCGGGATGGCCGGCGAGGGTCCCCGAGAGGATAAGGCGGTGGCAGCTGCAACTCCGGGCGGCGGTCCTCTGTCGACTCCGGGGAGGATCCGGGAGACCGCGCAGAAGACGTCTTCGCCGCCCCCCCTGTATGTGCAGCTCCATGGAGAGACTACCCGGCGCCTGGAGGCGGACGAGAAGCCATTGCAGATCCAAAATGACTACCTCTTCCAACTGGGATTTGGGGAGCTGTGGAGGGTGCAGGAGGAAGGCATGGACTCGGAGATTGGTTGCCTCATCCGGTTCTATGCAGGTAAGGATGTTGCCTGCACCTTGATGTGTGGCTTCCAGCCCTGTCAGGGACCGAGAAATGATTCAAGGGACCTGGTGAGTCAGTCTGATGCCCTTTTCTAGCTTGTTCACATGCCGTCTGTGCAGGTACTAAATTGAGCATTCTTTAAATCTGCAAGTTAGTGGAATGTCCAGAGCCGAGGTGGGAAAGCTAGGTGGACGAGGTTACAAAATCACCAGGAAATACAGGAAACAGGTACAACCCGAGAGAGGTACCAGTCGGTATCCATAAAGGTGCCTTCCCCCAGGTCTCTGCTCTGGTGGTTTGGGTTGTTCTCTGCTCTGTTTGGGCAGCTTGGGATTTTGGGTAACTCTCCGACGCTTTAATATGGATAGAGGACAGTGACCAACAAAAACTTGCTCCATGATGCCTTCCCTATCTCTATGCAGATGTCCACAGTTGGCCATTCACAGGCAGTAAGTGTAGTGTGGGCCTCTGGGAGTTTTGCTCTTGTCAACCGATGCCCTTGTTTGTTCCACTGTCTGCCACGCGTATTTACTCACTGAGTCTCCTTAGACTCCGGCTGAGTCTGTGTTCGTTGTTTGAGTGCTGCTTACCCTAGGCACTTTTAAATTGCTTTATTTCAGTTTCCTCTCCATGTTTGAATCTTGCATAAAAAAATGAGTTGGCCTGTTTCTGTCTTACAGCCTTTATTGTCAGAACTGCAGGGGGACTTGAAGCAGACTAGAGTTCATGAAGTCGGTGCTTACTGCCTCTCTGATATGACCTGAATGAACTCTTTGGCGTTTTCAGTATCTGTTCAAGTGCTTTTCCCAGTGTGACCAACGTCACGGTCACGCTTCTCTTTTGCCTAGAGACTTGTCTGGAACTAGGTTGAGGCGTTAAATGGGGAGTGGTTATTGTAGCTTAGCTTTGTAAGCCCCTTGAGTTTTTCTTTGCTTGGAAGAGATCTTAGTGATCAGAACTTCTGTTTAAAATAAAGTTAGCATGGGAGAATAAAAACTTGAGGTGTCGTAGATGTATACGAAAAGGAAAGGAATGCTAACACCAACCCCCTGACTCCAGCGTTTCTGGAACAGTTGGTAGTGTCTGTCTGTGTGTCTTTCACTCTTTCTTTCTACTTTTTTTTTTTTTGTCCAACATGTGTTCTAGTTGCAGTTTAGTTTAAATGAATTAGTCCTTAATATCCATATTGAAATATGAAAGACAGTATTCCTGAAGGAACTGTCCTTCTAAGTTTTATTGAAGCTTTTAGGAACTTAAGTGGATATTTTGATTAATGTTTGCCTTATAAAGAAAACCGAACTGTAATACAGTAGTGTTTCCTGGAGCTAGTATCTTACTGGATGATACAGCTTTTAATTTTTTTTTTTCTTCCCAGAAAAGTGTAGGTGCAACAACTTTATCTTTTTCTTTCATGGCTCTTGTGACCTGTGAAAAATTTCTTTGCACAGGCACCAAATGGTAATCACACTTGGAACGGAGAGTATTTTAAGATGAGAATGATATAGTCTTTCTTAATCAAGGGAAATGGGTATGAAGTGAGGTATAAGCAACAGATAATATTTGAGCACGCTTTTATATGTGGAGGAAGCTTTTCTCCGCTTTGTTCATGACTGGATAAATCAGGATAAATATCTGTAGGAAAGGTTAGGATGTCATAGTTCTGAAATTTAAATCTTGGGTTCTTTTTGGTTGTCTTTTCAGTAGCACTTAAAATATTCTGAGTGGGCTATAAACAGTTTGTTTTCTTTCCAACTCAGTTTAAAAATGAGCTGATTTCTGGTTAAATCTTAAGTTTCTGGTGTGCTTATTTTAATCTTTTTTGTTTGTTTATGAAAAGGTAATTGTTACCTCCTGAGTTTGCTGCTTTATTTGTCTGAGCACAGGATACATAGATACAGGCGTCTGTGTATATGCTTGTAAAAGTAACTAATAAAGTGAGGGTGCTCTGCACAAATGATCCAGCCCAGGCTCTAATCTGACGCCTGGGCACATGTACCCTACAAGAAAGGTATCTGATGGTTGCAAACGTGTGAGTGTCTGTTTTGGCACATGAACAAAGTTGGACTTATTTTAAGCCTAACTTCATTTACTAAGCATCTCTGTACTGATATCTGTCATAGAATAAAATTCAGCATTAATAGATGCTGTTTCAGTTTTCACAAGGATGTTTGTTAGTAATAGGAGGGCGCGGCTGAAAGGTGATCCCACATATCTGCACATTGTCATATGGTAAAGACTTACCCCAGGCTGAGGAGATTCCTAGAAATTGCTTCTGTGCTCCAGTGGAACACAGGACAGCTAAAAGGAGGGTGTTCTATTTTGGTGGTGAGTTCTTTTGTGTAGGGAGAGGGTAATTCATGTATGTTTTAAATGATTTCCTTTAAGAAGGCACTGGAAAATTGTGCAGATTTGCTTTGATAATTTGTAAGTGCCTTCTTGAATTTCTTGTTGCACATCTTTTCTAGTGGAGTTAGGTGGAGTTAGAGATAGCTAGGAAGTTTGAGATCGCCTGAAAATATATTTAAATTGAGCACATTATCTGTATTCTTCTCAGCCACGTTATTTCTTATTTTCACGAAGCAGAAAACTTTCATTCTCTTGAAGGCCACTGTTCAATTAGGTTTTAGTATTTATAGTCTTTCTCAGGTTGTTTAAGGGCTTTTAAAGCTATTTACAGTTTCAGTGAATGGTTAAATATTTATTTGGGTGAAGTAAAATAAAAGTCTTTAAATGAAATAGGTGTTGGATGAGAAATACTATGTAATTACAGTTACCAAAAGCTTAGTTTGAAATTGTTACTGCTCCTATCACAAGAGCATTCTTTGAGTTTTAAAATATTAGGAAGTTCAAGTGGTTTTAACGAATGTTATATTAAGTTTGCTAATTATGCTAATGTTTAATTTTCTTTAAAAAACACACATCTTAAGTTTTACCTGAAAGAGTAATTTTAAGTTAAAAAAATTTAGGAATTTAGTTAGCTGATCTAAGTTATGAATACCTAAGCATGAATAAGCTGTTTTGTTAGGACTCCCTGGGGCATTGGTGTCATAGGGCAGTAGTAAAAGTCTTATTTAAAATTTTTTTCATCACCTTTTATTTTAGCTCTAGTTGTCTGCTTAGTTCAAACTGCAGCAACAAGAAAGATTGTTGCCAGAATGGAGACCATACCTGTGCCTAACGGCTCTTGGGAGATGCATATATGTGGGCTTCCCTGGCAGTAAGCCTGCTCCCCTCTCATATTCCCGCTCCTTCTCTTCTGGAAATGCTCAGCCTTACATGATTTCCTACATGGAGACCAGGAAGGGGTGGTTAGCATCCGCACTGTATGACAAGCGGGTTCTTATTACCATAATTACAGCCGTACTGAGCAGTGTGGTTTGAACATGTGACTCCAGCGTGTGCTTCCATAGTGCTTTGAAAGTACAAAGCGTTTTAATTTATTTTGTTGTCTTTGTGCTTAACACTTTCTCATGTTCATTTATTTGTTATTTTTCATGCAAAGTATGTGAAATCGTTTGATAAAAAACAGACATTGGCTTTTTATTGTCTTCAAAAATATTAAAGGGCTTTCACACAAATGATCTCATTTGTCTTTTCAAGAACCATTAGGGAGGAGTCCCTGGTGCCAGCCTTCTCAGATTGGTGATCTGGTTCTTGCTGTAGGATTTCGGTCCATCCACTGCAGAACCGAGATTAGCAAGCAGAGAGCCTCTGCTTTGTAATTCAACTCACTTTCTATGAATTGGCGCTGAATTTCATTCACACTTGAATTTTCACTGAAAGCGTAGAGAAAACATGCTATGTGAATAATGAGGTGCTGTTATCGGCTAGTCCTGTGTGGGGTTTCTTGTAAAGTGCAGATGATTCTGTTTTTATCACATGGCCTTTCAAAATGTAAAGAACCAAGGTTGACAAGTAAGCACAGTTACAGAAAATATTGAAACATTGTAAATTCTGGGTATAAATCGTGATACTTAAAGTTGATATAGCTTAGCAGTGATTAGTTTTTTATCCTGATATTTCTTGTTGTTAAATCTTCGTTAGGAATTTGTCTAAAGAGATAACTTGAGAGTGAACTTGATGATCTCTTCTTTTAAGGCAATGAAAATACCCATCTCTGAAGAGCGTATCTCCTTGAAATTAGAATTACCAGAACTCTACAATAAGTAGTACGTTTTGACATCTTCTTGTATCATTTTGTAGTTCTTAGGTTGTGTGAGAGTTAGAGAGCAAGCATTCTCTGAATTTCACAAGCATTTTGAAAATAGTGGTGGTTTTGTACTCACAAAAGTGATTGTAGAGATTAGACAGGTGTAAATCAGTCTGTGGGAAGTCTCCGGTTACAAGTTTTAGCTTTTTTCCCCCCGGGCTGAGAGTCACCAGCAGTGCAGGTCTAGCCTGTGTGAGGCTCAACGGTCAATCTGCCATACTGCGACAAAACCAAATCCATTGTCAAATCAGCTGCCTTAAGCAGTTGTGTAAGATGTGCTTGTTCCTGTCTTCTTACAAAATTGAATTTAGCTTTGATTTCTTAGGAAGGTCGCATTTCCTGGCATCATATAGGATCTACGCCTTGTGTAAATCTTGGTATTTTTGCTTAACGTTTGTTGAATTGAATTTGTGTAGTTTGTTCAGCAGCTAGTGAAGTGTGTCCTCATTCTTTTGACTTCCATCCTGTTTGGGTCCCCAGGGATGTGTTAGACACACATGCACACAGAGGCATTTCTCCCATGGCAGGAGATTTCTGATGTGCCACATACTATTAATATCTTCTCTTTCACGTGACTGAGCTCTGTGGACTTTGGGAGAACAATTTTCCTTCAAAGTTTCCCTAGCGTTAACAGCAACCCTCTTTCAAAGGCATTCCATATCTCAGCATTGAGATTAATTTAATGAGACATCTGTCAAATGAGGCATCATGCATTTAATGATTTTGTTATGTGTCACATTTTATGCAGCCCAGTCTCTCCGGACAGGAGAATGCTTAACCATGA